CCCCCCCCCCTCAAAAAAAAATAAAAAATAAAAATAACAGTGTTGGTAATTATTTAGGCCCTTACATTTAACCCTGGAAGCCTGACACCGAGAACACGATGAACAATGCACGGCCCAAAGCTGCCGATCCCAGACCCAATGTTGCAGAACGGAAGTCCTGCTCCTGTTGCAATCCTTCCCTGGGTATGTCTATACATATGGGTAGTTGTCAAAATTATGGTCCCTTTTGGGGTACCCTAAATAATAGGTGCCGTATTATAATAAGGACCCAAAAAGGGACCATAATTTGACAACCACCCATATGTAGGAACACTATGGCCTGCTCCTCCGAGGACCTATGTATCTGCGTCCATGCTCAAACATCTATGCTTTCAACTCTACCTTAAGAACCCCAAAACCACACTTGTTTTGTAGGTTCTTATTCTAAACCCTAACATGGGATTTATAGGGGACCCTACAAAAACGTAGGTTTTGGGTTCTTAACCCTAGGGCTCCAGTTACCTAAATAATGGGTTAATGGGCTTCATATTGTATGGCTGGTAACCTACTATATGGGCACCTGGAGCCCTAGGGTAAGATAAACCCTAAACCCCATTGAAGTGGTTTAAACAACGTACCGAGGCTCCAGGAGCAAGGATCCACCAAGCTGTGGAACTCACCTGCATGCTGCAGAGCAGGGTTTAGGGTTTAGGGTTTGTTTTAGGGTGGATAGGGTTTAGGGTTTAGGGTTTAGGGTTTACGGTTTAGGCTTTAGGGTTTTGAAAATCTTCATACCACGGCTTGTCGTCATGGTTCGGGTATGTGGGGGGTACGCTGGGAGCGTAGGGCGTAGGGTTTAGTGGCACAACATTGAGGGGCTTAGGGTGTACTTTTAAGAGAACATTAAACCCTAAACCCCTAAAGCCCTAACCCCTAAATCCCTGAAGCCCTAAACCCTAAAAGAAAAACCTAAAGCCCCTAACCCTTACACCCCACAATCCCTCAGTCCACCACAGCAGCTGCTGCTGCCTTTGAGGCAACGCCGGAGGCGATCACACGTAGCCGGAGGCGAGTCCTCCCAGAAGCAAGGCGCTAATGTCTCCCTGGCTTTGAGGGTTTGAGAGTTTAGGGTTTAGGAGTGTTTAGGGTTTGCGTTTACGGGTTTGGGGTTTTAGGGTTTACGGCCTAAGCTTTGGGGGGGGGGGGGGGGGGGGGGGGGGGG